CTGCCTGACATATTAGCATTCACATTGCAAATTTCATAATGTCCTGATTTTAGCATTCAGTATATATAATACAGTACAAAACTGCTAGCATCACAAATATAAAGCAATTGGAAAATAATCACTGTACCACAACCTCCTGCTTCTTAGACTGAAACCTTATTCAAGCCTTGGGACTTTTTTGTGGCTTTAACGTAAACTGTGTGTTAATACAGTTTGTCCCTGCTTCTGTGAACTGACAGCGAGCCACTTATCTTTATTATCACGATGATAATTAATGACCAACACATTTTTCTGCTTCAGACTCGTGGTGCCTTATCACATGAAACTAGGCTTTTAGATGATAACACAGACAGCTGTGTAAGAACAGAGAGTGTAGTTAATAGCCTGAGGCGCTGGTGTGTGAGAACACATTGATCTAGCACAGAGCAAAACGTACCCCCAGAGCAGTTCTAAAGAGCCTCTGGCTTATATTTATCAAGTCCCTTGGACAGGGACCGCTGAACTCGGATCAGTGGTTAAGTTACGCCACCATTAAAACTTCAATAAAGCTGCGAGACTAAAATGGGTTCCAGATCCCGGCTGTAGCATAGCTGACTTTCACAGAACGTAGAACATAAAAACAAGAGATCAGAACATCAGTGAGCATCTCATAAACAAGGAAATCATTGTTTTAGATCAGCTTCACTCTTAGATTTGAGGGCTAATAAAAAAAACACACAAGCTCTTCATCTTTATTGGTCACACTCTGATACTGCACACCTATGCAGCCTCCCTTTCCCCCATGCAGCTGAACTGATTACATATTGTGTGGTAAAAGGGATATATTTACATTTCATGTCAACTTCAATTGATCTTTCTTTTTTTGGCATCGGTTTGTTTTGGGGATTTTTTTAACAGATGGCCAAAGAGTATTTATAAGTGCTGCTAGATGAGATGGCTGAAGTTTTGGCTGAAGGTTAAAACGGGGAAGTTTACCCAGAAGAAGACATACAGACACTTGAACAGCAAGTCCCAAATTCTTTGAAAGGTTTGAGTATTTAGCATTTGACAACATTTATCCAGGATGTCATGGAAGTCGCGCAAAACTGAGTTTAAGGAGGTTCTCAGATGAAAAAAACAGCAATACTGCATTACAAAGCCAGATAAGATACAGCATGGTACTTACATAGTACTTTTCTGTTCTGTTTAACCCTTTCACACATGGTGGTCACTACAGTAGACAGAGGCTATTTTCTTTTATTTGTGTCAGTGTTGATGGTATACTTGCATATAAACCACTACATTGGACACTGATGTGTCACTCCATACCATCCACCCACTCCAAAGGTGATGCTGTCCACTTAAGTGGACATGTAAAAACTATTTGGAAAATACATGTTTAAAAAAATGAAATTCTCAAATCTTTTTTTCATGCCTAAAGATGAATAAAATACTTGAGAAAAAAATCCTGATTGAGGTTGTCATTCATGCCTTTCATGCATGTTGTCATAATTCAATGCATGAAAGGGTCAATATGTAGTACGGCATTCAAACTCCAGTGGACTAATCAGGGGAAATTGAGATTTCAGTATCTTACCCAAGGATACTTCGACAAGCCACTGACCTTCCGATTAGCAAACAACCCCCTCCAGTTAGGCTCATATCATTATGGCCACCGACACATTATATTATGGATTTATTGTGATCCTGCCGTGGATCTTTATGCCTTTAGTGAAATACATCCTCAGTTGCATTGATGTCCACCAAATTGCAGAAAATTTCACTTCTTTACCTTCAAAAACTCCCACTACACCTGGAGTGTTCTGCACTTGGATGGATGAATGAGTTTTTCGTTCACTGTGGAAATGATCCTCCGCTCATCCACAGCTGCTGTCACCACTTCAGCGTTTTTATTCAACCACAGGAAATAAAGGTCGAAGCCCATGTCTGACTATAAAACAAATTTGAATCTGACTAGATTCACAACTAAAATAAAAATAGGGGGGAAAACATGTTTCTTTCCAAGAAAGCACACAAACATCATTGTAAAATTCAATTTCTAACTTGTTGCATTTTGATGACAAGAGCTAAAAAAATAAAAAAAATCCAGAGGCAGTGATATATGAAGGGTTTTTTTAGTTTTCATTTTTATGGGCATGAGGTTTAAATTATGTTAATAGGAACTTAGCTGCAGACATAAAAAAGGCAGTTGAGGTTCTCTCCTGATGGGACGCGTTGACCTACATAAACTATAAATCTTTGGCTCCATCTAGTGGAGTTGGTGAAAACATTCATTTATTTTTAACCTTTGCTTTCAGCTTTAGAGATAATGAAAAATTGAATACATCTGTAACTTAAAATTGGTATTCCAAGCTACATGAAAATGAACTTGAAGGTATTAATACATGAATGTATTAATAGATATGTAGGTGTATTATATAACAACTGTTTGAATGTCATTATTTGAAGAAAGACTTCAACCTGCAATCCCATTCAGCGTTAGAGAGGATTAAAATCCCCTCCAGGTTTAATACCTCAGCTTTTCTGGCACTTTTTACTTCCTAATATTAATTTGTGTCATTTCAGGATTGTTTTTAAATATATTTTAGATTGTGTTACAACTTTAGGCATCTATTCATGATCCCTTCATTGGCTTTAACTTTAGATTTGCATCGCCCTTTATTGTGAGACGTTGCTCGGTAGCTTGCAATCATTATCCTGATGAAAGGTGCGAATCGTGCTTCACCTTTGGACCGGTGACCTCAAATGATCTTCAAGCGACCTTCTTGATTTTTAAAGCTGAATCAGCACCTGTGGGTGTTTTCACTTTCTGTGTGCGACTCATCTTGAGCAGATATCCTGTGTCAGCTTTCATTCTGGGTAAAGCTTTGTGTGGTGATAAGCAATAAAGATGATACACAGGCTTTACCTGGCAGATTAGCTCTCAGATTTTTATAATTTACTTGGGAAAGCTTTATCCCTGTGACGCCAGAACCAGGAAATTATGCCAAAGAAGTCAGCGGGAGAAAAACAAAATGACGCTGATGATGTCGAGATCACAGAAACTCAAGTATCTGACAGGACAGTAGCATGTTAACCCCGTAACCTGTAAGTGGAACAGTGTAAGTAATACTGCCAAATGAGTTCAAGCAGACGCCAACATAAAATGGAAGTGGCAGACTTTTGAACTTTATTCTTATTTTTGAAACACATTATTTATTTGTCATCATTATTCCAGTTATAATAAATGCATAACAACCGCTTCAGAACATGTTACTTGGACATATTTTGGACAAGAGAAACGGTGTGGCTGCCGCCTCGTTTTTCCCCTCCTCATTTATATACAAAGAGAAATATTTTGCACTAGATTAATCCTAACATTACCCACTCATTTGGGAGGGAAAATCATGCAGCAGAGCATCAATTCACCAAAAGATCAGAATATTGCTGAAAGAGGCTTTAGTGGGATATGATGAGAGTCGAAAAGATAATAAAAAAAGTTTGGCAATTCTCAAGCTGTCACAGTTTAGGCTAAAAGCGATGAGACACACACACAGACACACACACACACACACACACACACAAATATTATTTTCAAAAATAAAAAGTGCAAAAGGCAAATTCTCCACTTGGGATGATTTAAGAATTCAATGATGGCTGAAGAAAACCTTTTTCTAAACCCAGATCCAGTTTTGCAGATTCATAAATCATACTGTACAGAAGTTCTTCAAAGTGCAAATATTCTAAATTGGCATAATCTGGTATATATACACTTCTCTTTTCTTAATGAAAAAATTATAATTAAACAAACAAAAAAAAAGTTTATTTTTCTTTGTCCAGTCAGGCTCCATATTCAAGACGCAACAGTGTGTCCCCAGACTTCATCGCCGTCATCGCACTCACTGGAAGTCACAACGTCAGCTAACATTGATTTATTTAAAAAAAAAAAATAAATAAAAAAAAAAAAAAAAGGAGTCACATCACTGAAAGCTTCTCACGCCATGAAAAGAAAGAGGAAGAAATCCTAAATGTAATCAGAAAAGCTGAAACCTCAGAGAGATCCGTGTGTTGGCTTTTGTCCGAGTCATGCAGGTCATGCAGAACCAGCTTGTCCAATAACAGCCATTTCACTCCCTGATATCACAACTGGATCTCAGTCTCTGATTAAACTACTCAACTACGTCTACTTCATTATCACAGGACCTTACAGCCACAATAATCGTAGGTCATTACAATTGAGTAAATTGCATAAGACTCGTGTATTTCAAGGAGTTTCTCCTCGAGCCTGGCATGTCGCTGCCCTCTATGTAAAAATGCTTATTATCGTTTTAAACTTCAACAGCACCGAAGCAGGAGATGCATACGAGGCCCGCTTTAGGGTCACTTTCTACTGATCTGACCGTAGCAGCCTAAAAACAAACTTTTCCCACCGAGCTCTCGCTGGTTAGTGCCTCTGTAGAAAACAGACACTGTTTTGAAAATGAAAAGGCAGCCGTTTCACTGCCGACCGAGATGAGGTGAACTTGTGCTGTGAAATAGTGAGGGTTGGGTTTTTTTGTTTAACCCAAAAATAATTAATTAATTAATTAATTAATTAATGAAAGCTTTTCATTTTTCTTTGATTCAAAAATATTACAAAAAAAAAAAAAAAAGGCTGATTAATGATTGTTATTGAAGGGAAAGGAGATTAAAAAAAAAAAATCAATTCAGGAAATCTGCTGGTGCAAATGTTTCCATCGTTTCTAAGGGAAAGTCGCTGCAATGAAAAACAAGATAAACAAGAAGCTTTTATTCGAGTAATATCAGATGCACCGATATCAGCAGGTAACCTGTATCGGCTGATATTGGCTTTACTGACTGATACCAGGAATATCAGCAGATATTCAGTCGGTCACATGACTCAACCATGGAAAACTTCAAAGTTTTTCTGTTTTTGTTTTTTAAACAGGGAAGCTCTGTTTATGACACAGAACACAGAGGGAAACAGTAAAAGTAAAAACAGCATCAGTATGACTCGTCAATTTATTTATTTTTTAAAAACAACCACTTTTTTTGCATTTTAAATTTGCTTTTGTTCTCATTCCTTTCCCCCTTCACTGTTTTATAGTTGAATTATTTAGGTTTTCATACTGTAATTAATTGGTGGATAATGCATAAATATCTGTGGCTGTCATTCCTGATATCAGTCAATAGAGCCAACATTAGCCAATGCTAAGTTTCTGCCAGCACATGTTATCTGATATCGTTTTAAGAAAAGCTTCTGGTTTGTCATTAAAGGTTTCAAGCTCTTCATCACACATCCAATGTGACATCATCAGTAAATATTTGCCAGTGACTGATATCAGTCCAGAGTGCCGTTATTGCTGATGCTAATTTTTGGCAACTGTATTATCTTAAATTATTATAATAGAAGATTCCAGTTTGCAATTTCAAACACCTTCCATTGGCTCAGAGCCCCAACTTAACCGACTGAAAAAAAGGGGGGAAAAAGTTATATTATTTATTATATTTTGAGCCAATTCTAGCTAAGCAGAGCTTCGGTGTTCGGTTCTGAGTGCCCTTATAATGGAAACTGTTGCATAAATTTGATTTGAAGAAAATCTGAGATGACGAAAAAGGACTGGCGCTGTCAAACTGCTACATCAGCGTTAAATTAAGACTTCATTATAACACCCTAAGCTTAAATAATACGGCAAAACTAGTGCTTAGTTCAAGCTCAAGAGAAGTTCATGAAACAATCATCAGGGAATTTTTAAACACACCGCTAGTATTATTTTAATGTTTTTGTTAAATAATTAATGTATTTCATGCTACTTTTAACTACATTATTTTTAACATTAATGTGCCATTAATTCTATTCATTTTATAATAAAACCATATAAAGTAAACAGTGGTGTGTTTTAAAATTCCACGAGTAACTAGAAAGTCTGTCAGTTTGAATCCTTAATTCCTGTTTGTTTCAAGTGAGACAAACAAGGCTGTTGGAGGGGAACTCTGAATATCAAAGTCTCATAATGGGTTTTCACCTCCTACACGGTTTCTATTTTAAAATTCCAAATGTTACTTTATAGTCATGAAGGTTTTGTGATTCAGCTTTAAGCTGTTAACACTGCTGTCACTGCATGGCATCACATAAGCTAGCTTAGAACTGCCAAAGCTATTTTTATGTACATCCTACACTGTTTTGTTGTGCTTTGTGAATAAATGTTAACTCTTAAATTCGCCTCAGGCCAGGTTTGTGTGACACATGAGCTGGTCTGGTGTTTCCGTCACATGATCCAAGAGAAGACAGTGTGAAAAGCTTTGAATCAAAGGAAAATGAAGTGGGGGTGGGGTGGGGGTGGGGGGGGCCCAAAAAGGGCCAGGGATGAGACGTGATCATCAAAGTCGGATTTTTCAGCTCAGCTCTGAAGCTTCAGAGCTGATCCGTGTTTTACTTTTAATGAAACTGGTAACTCTTTCTCCCTACATCTTTTCCTCCATTCCTTCCCCATCTCCTCTCTTCACTGCAAGGCTCTTTAGTCAGGTCATTCAAGGGGGAGGGAAGGACGTTCACATTGGAATGGAGCGGTGACGGCACGGAGAACCTGGAGGGAATGAATTCCACACATTAGGGGCGAACAGTGACAGTTATTAAACATGAGAACATATCTGATCTGCAACTTCCTGTCTGTAAGTGCATCAGTACCACCTTTAAACTGCACATCCGTCCTGATGACCTTTATCTGGACACTATGTTTCTCACACACTGTACAAACTGGCACTGTCCACTGTCAGGTGGACACTGTAAACATTTCTACACTAAACATGAGTCGTGAAGCTTCAGCATTCACGACCTTGAACAAAGAACCTCAGGGCTCGTGTGACTATGACTTCCGCTGACTAAATTGTGACACTTCCAAAGATAAGAGATGTTGTGACGTTGGCTCTAGATTTCAGCACATGGTGTAAAATGATCACTGAAACTCACTGTGGCGTGGTGCAGTAACCCTGTACTGGTCCCGTGTAGAGCCTGTGCTTTACTCCAAGTTGTCTACACGCTGCAGCTGTTTACTGTTTAGGCGGTGCCAAACATATATGGACCAACCAGTTTGTGGGCTACTCTTACTTGTGTTGTTGTTGGCCCTTGAACCAGCCACAGAGCAGACAGAGGTTCTAACATAACCGGCTGAAGTGAACCCAGGAACACACAGAAGTGTCCACTGTTCAGCACACTTTTCAATCTATCAGCAGGAGCTGTGTGCTGCTGGCTTTTTGGAGAATGGTGCGTTTTTCTGTTTTTAAATGACGATCATCTGTAATTACATCATGAAAGGATTACCATGAATGGGGCTGTGTCTAATTTTAGAACTGACAAAGATCACCTGAGCTGAAGATAATAGCTATGTGCTGCTTTAAGCTGCGTTTAACTTGGAAAGCAACTCTCCTGTCTCGTTCTCTTCCAGGTACAGATCCTCTGTACGGGTGCAGCTGCTCACCAGGCTTTAATTCTGCAAAGTGGCCAGTAGACTGTGTGCACGTTAGCATATGCTACTTCCGGTGCGGAAACTCCTGTGGGGAGCTTTGTTTCCGGTGTCCTATTCGCGCCTTGTTTACGGTCCAAAACAAGTTAAGCAAATGAATGAATCAAGCGGCGATTTACATTTCTATAGATGTCTTGGGCATATACCCAATATATCTGTAAATGATGTCCATCGACTTGTCGATATTTTTTCCCCCTCAGAGCAAAAGAGAAAAGGGATTCAAATGTTATATTTCTCAGTGTCTGTAAACAGCGGTCCCTTGTTTATCGCGGGTGTTATGTTCTAAAAAATAACCTGTGATAGGTGAAATCAAGTAGCCAATTTTATTTTTTGACGGTGCAAAACGTTTCGTGGACATCGTGGACATAACGTACTGCACTTCAGAGTCACACTGCTAGCGATCGATGCAGCGATTCTGTACTGTACAGGAGAGACGGCACGGAGGAGATCGTCTGCAGCGATCAGGACACAATGTGATGTAAAAAAATTAAATAAAATAAGCATGCAAACTTGCACTAAAAAAATCTGCGAAACAGCGAGGTGAAAGGTGAACCGCGTTATAGCGAGGGACCACTGTAATTGTGAAGGTAAGTCACAACATACCCTTCGTAAATACTAATGCATAGAAAACGTTACCAGCAATCGTTCATTTTTTGTGTGGCTTTTTTTCACAGTTTGTTGACATGCTGTGTAGGTGTGTACTTGACTAGCTGATATCGACATAACAGGGAAACATCTGGTTTGACTATTCTTCACCTGTAGTTTGAATGCTGAACATTTTCCTGTTTAAAATCATAATAACTGTCACTATACAGAGATGTGCTTCTGAATGTGAACGATGTGTCTTCTGCTGCAGTAATGCAGTTCTGCTTGTGTTGAGTGATGTAAACAACTGATCAATCTAAACTCTTTAAACGTCAAAATTGATCATTAGATTTTTTATGACACAACAGTGGTGAGTGTTCCCACCTTCTGCTCTTTGTAACTTAACGCGATCTTTCCGTTTTCAAGTTTTGGAGATGATTTAGGAGTATATCTTCGCAGTAGCGATTGACCGCAAAGTAAAGCTACCGGAAATGTACAACCCCACATCTGGTCTCAAACCAGGAAGTTAGCATTTTCTCATGCACAGGGTCTATCAGCAGCAGCGAGGTGCTGAGACACATGTCACGAGTCTTGGCTGGGTTATTCGTTCACTCAGTTCCCACAGCTCCCACAGCTCACAGCCACAGGGGAAAAAAAACTCTTCATGTAGGTCGACCAACAGTTCCGCTGACATGCCATGTCTTTACCACAGCCACCTGTCAGCTCTGTGCCTACCACATTCACGAACGAGACCCTGAAAGACTCTAGTCCTGACTTCATCTCAAACCTCCCCAGTTTAAGCTGGAGCTGTAAACCAAACACCTAGAAAACAAATGCAGATCTGAATACTTCACATACTGAAAAACTCTGATCCAGTTGAACAGAGCCAGCTCAATACAAAGATTTTGATACCTTTAGTAGAGGAAGAAGAGGCGTGTTCTATGAGATGTGGCCATGTTCTCTGACATATTGCGAACTTTTAGATAGTTCACAAAACCTCTGAAGAACAGCAGGAGACCTGTGGGAGAGAGAATCATGAAGTCACTCTGACACGGAGGCTTTTTGGCTTTTAGGGACGATTACTGACTGCAGCGCACTCACCGAGCAGCAGGAAGATCCACCACAGCCAGTACTGACCGTTGAAGTAGCCAGTGAAGTAGTCTGAGAACTGGACACACACAGGAAGAGAGAGTTTGGCTTTAGTGTTATCAGAAGGAAACAATTGCTGTGTCTAATTTGCTCTTTATACAAAGTGACGCTCTCTCATAAAGTCCATTAAAAAATACAAATCCCACATCGATGAAGCCTGACCAGCAGTCATGTGCTCTCACACTATAGATTAAAAAAAAAACAAACCAGTTATATGAGGACCGGGGATGGTATGAAATCTGCTTACTTTGACTAGTGCATGAATAAAAATATTGCTAAATGTGTTGTGTGGAAAATGACAGCTGTGTATAAACAGGGCAATCTCTGAAAACAGAAATATGACATTTAAAAAAAAAAAAAAAAAAAAAAGTCAAACCTCAAGGTCACCCTAACACACACACACACACACACACACACACACACACACACACGGGTAAGAGCATGAGTGTGCAGACATTAACACAGGATGCAGTTAGCATTGTTTTTAAGTGTGTTTAATGTCCCCCTGTGAGTTCTTCCGCAGCAGCAGCTGCAGTTCTATCAGACGCCCAAATCAGACTCGCTCTCGATATCTCAACCTACAACAATGAGACAGGAAGCACGGGCGTCGCAGGTCCTGAGCTTTCTCTGAACAGCTCTCAGGGCTCTGCTGGCCTCTTGGCCACGTCATTCCTGGGGGAGGTTTTTTAATCCCAGTGAGACTTTTGACCTTCACAAATGAAAAGATATAATAATAACAACAACAACACTCTGCAAACTTCAAAGACATGTGCAAAGGAAATGAAACATCACAAATACCACCACCAGCTTGAGAGCTTTTCAGCTGCAGCTCCCAACTGATATAATAATGCTCCTTCTACTGCGAGCACAATTATTAAACTCTCGCCTGTAGACCACATTAGACTTAGTCTTTGTCAACCCAACTGATGAAACTTCCAAACAACAAAGAATATTACAGATTTATGTCAATCTTTCGCGTTTCAAAGCCAGAACACCAGAATGACTGAGGATGCAGATCAGCAGGTCGTCTGCTCAGTAGCACGAGCTGATTGTTTGCCAGAGGCTGGTAATGGTATGAACACTGTATGAGCCTCTGCAGTAGTAGTTGTGCACAGAGGAGCAGAGCGTATGACATTTCCATTTCCCCCCCATTACCTACCAACCTTGTGTTTAACATAAAAGGGCTATGAACTCTGGGTAACACCCTTAGACAAACTATGCGGGAATGGTGATTTGGAGAGAGTGCGTAAAGGACTCAGAGTGTCTGACAGAGAAACCTCATTTAGTTCACGGCTTGGCAGCAGTACGGTCCAAAGCCCTCAAGGTCAAAGTCTTTGGGTCTACGACACTGAGACTCGTCCCCAAAAAGCTAATCCTGTAGCACTGCTCAGAGGTTCACGTGGTTGTATAGGCATTTCTTTTATTTATGTATTGATCACATTATTTTATTGTATAATGCCTTAGCGCCACTAGATTTTAACATGTCTCACACTCATACAGTTAGACAGATGGTGGGGGTCTGGTAAGGAAGTTGGGGGAAGCAGACAAGTCCACAGGAAGAATCTTTTCTCTCTTTGAGGACTCTGGGAGGTAAGGCAAGGCAAGGCAAGTTTATTTATAGAGCACAATTCAACAACAAGGTGATTCAAAGTGCTTTACAGAGACATTAGAAACAAGAACAAATAAAAAGCATGATTTAAAATTGATTAAAACAAGCAAATAAACTAACTAACTAATTAACAAACAAACAAACAAACAAACAAACAAACAAAACAGTATATAAAATCAAAACAGATAAAATCAGAACAGTAGATAAAATCAGTAGTTAAATGTAAGTTTTGAAATTTAAGCTTAAAAGTGTGGATTTGGTGCTTTATTCAAATGCAGCTGAGAACAGGTGAGTCTTCAACCTGGATTTAAATAAACTGAGTGTTTCAGCTGATCTGAGGCTTTCTGGGAGTTTGTTCCAGATATAAGGAGCATAAAAGCTGAATGCAGCTTCTCCGTGTCTGGTTCTGACTCTGGGAACTGATAAAAGACCGGATCCAGATGACCTGAGGGATCTGGAAGGTTCATACTGGGTCAGGAGGTCATTGATGTATTTTGGTCCTAAACCATTCAGAGCTTTATAGGTAGCAAGGGAGTGTGAACCTTAAGGTGTGAAACAGCTGTGTACTGCCTTTTGTTCCTGGAGAAGGTATTTAACTGAGAGCCATGCTAGGCTCAGTGAGACTCTGCTGACCGTCTGCCCCACGATCATGCAGGCTCTCCACCAAGCTTGGTTTTCTGTTCTTTGTTTGTGATTAAAGAATGTTAGCTACCGCTCACCGCTTGTCTGCAGGCTTTATTTAATGGAAAACATCCACAACATGGTGTAGCTGTAGGAGAATAATATTCAAATGTTCAGTAATGGCTGCATTCTCATTCACTTAGATATAAGTTTTAAAAAAAACAAACAAACTGCACAGATTCTTTCCAAGATTGCTGTTGAGTTGCTCAACTTTTCGTTAAACCCTGATCCTCGTGTGTAACACTGACCTCCATCGTTCAAACACAACAAACAAACAGTGGAAAAACATACCCTGACAATGAGAATCCACTTGATGAGGGAAAGGCCGAAGCCGCAGATGGCCCCATAGCGCCCCGCAATGGTGTTGGTCAGACAGAACGACAGGCAGAACCCGATCCAGTTGAACAGGAAGGCCACTGAAGGAACATCAGGAAGACTTGTTTTTATTTGGGCATCTAAGTGACTTTCACTTTGAAATCAGCAGTGGATTTTTTTTTAATTATATGTTAAAAATCTAAAAGTAACAACAGTCTCAGTGGATTTGAGCGTCTCTCTAAATGTTTATCCACTGAATTATGAGTGAGACTCGAGGGTTAATTCATCTGTTATCAGGGAGTCACATGCTGTTTTACGAGTGTGTTGCAATCTGGGCAAAGCAAACAGAGCTGCTACCAGGTCTCTTTACTTTGCACATAAATAAGCAAACAAAAGAAAACACGAGACTCACTAAAAAAGGCCAACATGAAGATCCCGTCGTTACCCACTCGGAGCTGATCGGCGTCACTGAAGTCGTCTCTGGGAGGGAAGTCATCATCCTTACACGGACACACACAGACGTACAAATGTTATATTATTTTAAAAGTCATAATGTATTTTGGAATTAGTAAGTCACCTTAACAATAACCTTTAAAGTGCTGATATAACGTGCTCAGAGCATAAATTCAAGTTAACTGAAATGCAGTTTTACTTGTTCTGAATGGGAAGACTCAGAGCTGGTAGAAATAAAGCCTTTCAGCATTTACTTTGGTCCGGAGTGTCACAAGCGTGGGGTAGTCAAGAAAAACATTTTCTGGCATGCTTTGAGGTAGGGGTGGGCGATATAAACGATATACGATAGAAACGATATAAATTTGGCCAACGATAGAGATTTTGACTATACCGCTCTATCGCGACAGCGCATGTTGATGATGTCATCAAGCTGCGCCTGTTTTGGTCGAAAGCATCGCAGTGGCTACAACCATTATCATCTGCAAATTATGCCGACAGTCATAGCAAAGAGATGAAGCACTTGTGAAATATGGGGAAAGCCAAAAACTGCACTTCCTCCACTTCCGTAACATTGATTCATTAATGTTGAATTCTCTCGCAGCTGTTCTATTCCCATGTTGTTGCAGTATATTAATAACCAACCTCGTATTGTGGATGAATAATCTCAGTTGTTCTCCTGACTGAAGTTTGGCCCGTGTATAGCATCTTGCTATGTGACTGCATTTGTCCCTGACCACCAGAATCCCTCACGTTAACTTTTAATAAGTGGAAAAAAAGTTGGGGTTCATCCTCCAGCTTCACTGTGCTAATGTTATGCTAACATACATGGTACAACATTATATACCAGGTAGTCCAACTTCAGTAACCCTGCAAACGCCACTGCTGTTTAGTTTTCTGTCTTCATTTATGTCGGAAGTGGTAGCAGAGCTGTACGTTTTAATTTGTTTCAAAATCTCTCAGTCAGAACATGGTATGTCATGTTTTTAACTCTTTAACTCTCAGTGTTCGTTTGACTTTGGGACCTGAAGAAGACGGCGCTTTGGACCCAGATTACGCCGCGAAGCTCCTCACTACGGCAGCCGTAATGCTCTGACAATCCATCAAGCAGTGCGGCTTACCAAAGTTGTACTAAAACATTTTTTAACAGATTTCTGGACGCAGAAATCAGTTCGAAGTCAGTAAGCACAACCAGAATTCATACATAAGGCGCACTCTCGATTTTTGAGAAAATTAAAGGATTTTAAGTGTGCCTTATAGTGTGGAAAATATGTTATACAGAAGAAAAGAATATATCGTGATATATATCGTTACCGCACGTGCTTCAGATTATATCACGCTTCAGATTATATCGCGACATGAATTTTAGGCCATATCGCCCAGCCCTACTTTGAGGTGAACCACACACAGACCAAAGACCAGTAACCACAAGAATGTTTCAGTGGAAGAACTTTAACCCAAGAATAATAAGAGGGGATCTGAGAGGGCGACCGTGTGTGAGCAGGGCTCCTTACCCGTGGCATCACCTCCACTGCTGAGGCAGCCATGGCAGCTGCTTTGGCCTTCTCTGCTTCATCGTATGTGGGCAATGAGGTGGCAACGCTGTAGGGTGGAGGCACAGGGAAGTCACCGCGGAAACTAGTCTCTGTTGAGAGAGAGGAGGAAAAAAGTAAGAAAAGGACAGAAAGCACGCAGGATCAAAGCGGAGCTGTGCACTTCCTATAACGCTCTGAGACCGTCCTGGAAACTAAAGTGACTCAAAGCTACAAACACTCCAAATAGTCACCACAGAGCTGCAATCAGACCAAACTCTGCGTGCAATTAAAGTCAAATTAGTACCAGGTGGTGCTGCAGCATTTGCTCCCAAGTCGATGGAAGCGTATGGAGGTGGTGCCGTGTCCACTGCCTCCCCCTGAGTCCTCACGCCCGACGCTTCCCCTGCCGCGGGGACTGGGGTCGGGCTCACCTGAGTCTGACTCTGGTCCTGGCCGGATGTGCCGGGCTGGGCTGTGGCAGAAGTGCACGGCTGTGGCTCGCTGGCGCCGGCCTCCGAAGAGTCGTCCTCATTGTGCAACTGAATATAACAAGAAGCAGATCATCAGCCAAAACCAATGCTGCTGCTCGAGGGGAATGCACACATGCACACACTCTCGTCCTACATCTCTGAAAGACTTGAGAAGAAAGCACCAGAGTGTTGGCAGTTTCAAAGTCTGAAAACTCCAATTCTTCTGACTGCATAAAAACAGCTGCCAGTCGACTGAAATAACAAACCAGAAAGCAAAAGATTTCAATATTTTCATTCATGTATATGTATGTGTATATATATGAATCAAAAAAATATATATAAATCAAACTCTGGTTTCGCTCTCAAAGGGAGGCCCAAAGTTGGGAAGCTATGGCCAGTCTAAACAAAAAACACGCACCTACAGCAATGTACGGACAAGTTAGTTGTTGTATCAGTCAGGTAAACATAAACAAACAATCTGAACATGTATGTTTCAGTCTCATTTTGAGTGCTTTAGGTTGTTTTCAAATATAAGCGTCTGACAGAAGAAGTTGTCAGTGTAACACCAGAGTACTTGTAGAAAAATCAAAGCTCAGCGAGCTGTGAAACAACAGGGGTAAACAAAGTGTAAAAATGACATGTTTTTTGGATTCCGTCTCACTAATAAAGGTGAGGCGGTATGGACTATTTGCTGAAAAGTTGTGGCTAAAGGGGGCAACACTTCAAAGTGGAATTTTTTTTTTTACTTTTTGGTGACCTCAAAAAAGCAGCAAATGCCAGTCCTCCAGAGAAAATGTATGGAGTCAGGATGTTAAATCCGTGCATAGCTACTAGGGCTGAATGATATATCGCATTTGCGAAGTGCAATTTTCTAACCGCAAAGGCTGCGATTATACTCTGGACATGTCCAAATTCATGGGCTGCATCCTCCTGAGGCCGCATTTGTAGACCGATTACGTCACAGCGACGCGCCGAAGGCTAGGGCTGCTCAATTAATCGAATTTTAATCACGATTACGATCTGGGCTTTCAACGATCATTAAAAATGACTGAGCCGATTATTAGCCCCTCCCTCATTTACCCGCGACACCTTAAAGGCCGGTCCGTGAAAATATTGTCGGGCATAAACCGGTCCGTGGCGCAAAAAAGGGTGGAGACCGCTGATTAAGAGGACCCGAGGGAAGCTCGGAAAGCTAAGCAGAAGTTATTTGGAGAGGAGAGTGACTGCCATTGGTTGAAAAGAGTTTAAAAAAAAAAAAAACTTCAGTGGTGTTGCACACTATTTTATATTATTTTTTTAAAGTCATTGTTAACCCTTTAAAGCCGGTCAGAGCAGCACGCTCCGTTTTGCGTAACTATTTTTAAATCCCTGTAGAACATGAACCGTGTAAGCTAGCGCAATAATTTGTTTTGCATATGAAACCGGAGGAGTTGTACT